GAGCATCAAGTTGTCCCAAACACCTCATTTATCAAATTTTGATTGTTGATTCTGTCTCCGTATTTTTTCATTGGCTTTTCAAATGAACCAAATTCGGTAAGATTTTGATCCAATAACTTGAACATAGTTCAATGTGATTGTCATCTTCGGGATACAAGTTCAAATACATTTCCGATGTCCTAACACTGTTTCTATCGTATTTGCAATAAATTTGTATCATATCTCTATTCTCGTCATTCGTGAAAGCCATTATACGCCAAAAATTCAATAACTTGTACAGTAACAAAATATCATTGAATGTAACAAATTGAAAGTCAAATTTAGAAACAGCAATTTGTTGGTGTTATCGATTGGCATATCAGGAGTATAACGAACTCTAGAGATCACATCTCTTGGAGCATTTTCAAAAAATAAATTGAACACTTCTAATGAATTTTCGATCAATCATCCTTCATCCATTAATGTTATATTATTCGCCTCACCATTATTATTCGTGAAGTCTTCAACAAGTTTTCAGGGATTACCTATTTCTTTCAAGTAATTTTCCATAATATGTTCTCAACAGGGAAACCATGTTATGAGGAGAGTCTGATCAGCTGAATATTCATTTTTTTCCGAAACATGAACTTTTCCCAATTACCAGAAATGCGATACTCTTCTTGACGCGTGTTCCACCAATCAAGGAGATCAAAAAAACTTGACGTGCGTCCATGAGAGTATTGCATTATATTGATTGGGAAAAGTGAGGAGGAGGGATGTTTAGCCACTTTTTCTCTGTAAACAAGTGAGGCAAGTTTTTTCTGATACAAATTTTGAAAAAATACAGTTTATAAGTTCAATGATTACCACAACTTTCATTACTTTGGTAGAATGTCACAGCCTTGTGTCATAATAGACCCTAGTGTGAGCCACAGACAATTTTTTATATCCCAGATATTTTCCAGCTCCTCAGGATCATCTTCGCATGGATGCGGATTCTCCCAATCACCTGGAGTCATCCTGAAAACATTGAGAAATGAATGAAGCAAAAAATTTCCACAACTGGGCAGAAATGTTACCTAGATATGAAATAGAGCACGATGGATATAACGAGAAATAATGTTGCGGTGTAGATCCAAACATCACCAGAAAACGGGTCCAAAAAGGCAAACATGTTAATATCTTTCTTATCTGGTTTTTTGTAAAGAATACTAATTCCTGAAAGATTTAAAATTCAAAATGATAGCTACACAATATAAAAAATAATTCGAAACTAATTTTGTTCAACATCGATAATAACTCATATGACTTGATGTAACTAATGAATTTCAATGATTCTGAAATCGGAATGAATGTAGTCACAAAGTCTGAAATCAGAATGAATATATTCACAAAAAAGTAATAAAAAAAGCGTAGGATGCTTCAAAATTCATAACACTTCCAGCATACAAATCATGGAATTATAAAACAACAACAAAAATTAATTGGCGCTCCGGGGAGACTTCATTGATTCCAGTGGCGCAGTAATTTTTTCAGCTGCAGGAAAACTCGAAAAAACCTGCAGAACCACATTATTTCAAAATCTTGATCTGTCAATGTCTCTCATAAAACAAAATGTAAAGTGTCTCCAGAGGCTCTAATGAATTCAATACATCGCCAGAACACTTAGTGACATGACTATCGTCAAACGTCAAACTTAAACCAGTCTGTTTCGTCTTTGACCTAGGCGTGATAATGACTAGATTCAACGCCACAGTGAACAATGACTGCATGAAGATTATAATAGTGATCTGCTATATTGAAGTGTTCATCTATTTCGAACCTTCGTGAGAGTTTGGTGCTTCCGTCAGAGGTTGAGTCATGTTTGGAGATTATCAGTGTTATTATTAGATTGGCTGGTGCCTCAGCTATCACCTGTTAATATTTCCATTTTCAGATGATTCAACAATAAGCTTTGCACGGACTGTTTATTAGTCATATTAGGAAACGCTAGTTGACGTTTCAGAAATTCACATGCGTTGCTAGCTCTTGAATATTTACTACAAAGTAAACAAGTGAGGATTTTTCCAGCAAAAGATTCACAAACACAAAACGAGGTAGACTGTACAGAATCATTCAATCTAGAGCGGTCAGGAGTATTTAGTTTGCTATTGTTTTGCTTACGAAGAGTATTCAACAAGAACCCCATGAATTCAGAACAATCCTCTTGTTGTCCTAACGAGTATCTAGTAGATTTCAAAGACTCCAGGAAATCGGTTGGAGGGAAAGATGACACATTCTTACGAAACTGCAATAANATAGGTTGGGAGTACTTCACCAAAAATCATAAGTGTGGCTTGACGCTGAACATATCCAACAAGTTCTTATCGCGCACCAGAACAGGATATCACACCGAACCTGCATACTCCATAACTGGACTTTTGGAATTAATTACTTTCCTCAGTTGAAGAAAATGAAATGTTTCTTTTGACTGGTGTTCAGGTTAGATCGTATGAACTTGTACAGTTTTTTATTGTTTTCAGATTTTGCAATAGATTCTTCAATCTCAAGACGTGAAGATTGCAAGGTTGATATCAGGTGTTTTGAGAAATTTCGATAAGTTTGGTAATCATCTGGGGCTTTTGATCTTTTGTAACTCTCCCAAAGTCTTTTTTGTTATATATGAGTGACATTATTTCGGTGCCTCACTAGCTGTGTTGTGAGGAAATTGTTCAATCCTAGCGATCCTGATCAGGATAATAAGATAAACTCATCAAATTATTGTATTTTCAGAGTTTAAAATACATCTGTCAGTTGAAGTTCGTCAAAATCGAGTTCAAAGGAGTCGATTACAAACAAACATACAAGTGAAGCTGATAAAGGCGTGTTAAAAAGTGCAGGTTAGTATTGTTGATGAGATTTTATACCTAGTGTCATGAAAGGCATACTGAAATCGACAACTTCTCTTCTTTCTGGAGTTATGGTCAAGTCACAAACGGCAAGATGCGCTCTCTGCAAACAAGAAAATAGAGTGTAAAGTAAAAAAAAACATTGTTTCAGAATGGCTGAATACGGAGATAGTAAAGGAAAAATATTCATACTTGGCTGCACCATACTGATGATGGGCCAAAAGCCCGAAACACGTGTCTATGGTTTGCCACTTTCTTGAGTGCTTTGTCCGATATTAACTTCTGCGTCTATATCAAGACACTCAATAACTTTCATATATATATATACAGTGTCACCATCAACTGCGCACCATAGGGAAAACTTTTTTTTTCGAAAAGTTTTAATGAAGTTTAACTTCGGCACTTGTTTGTGCTTTGAATTTAATTTGAAATGATGCAGCCAACTGCGACCCACTGACGTTCAGTGTTTGTCAAATTCAACTTTTTTTTTGAAAAAAATTGAAAAAGTGCATTTCTAGATCGAATTTAACAAAAAGTTACTTGAAAAAGTTGTGTCTACGGCAATTTTATATCCATATGCCGAATTTTATGCAACTAGGATAAAGTTAACGTTTTGCTTATTTTTGACAGATATCCCCTTTATTTTAAAAAACAAGTTCGGTTAATTGTCATCAATTCATGTATACATNTTTTGAAGCTCCTGACAGATGATTCACAACCCTAGAATATAATGTCAATATTTTCAACTACTACAAAATGGCGGAATTTTCAATAATTGCCTGAATACATGACATTCAACTACATAATATGTGGTAAAAAAAAGTCCGGAGGTATCAAATCTGGCGAGCGGGCTGGCCATTCTGTAGGATATCGTCGGCCAATCTAACGAACGTGAAAAGTGGTATCCAAATAGTTTCTTACTTGTCTGGAGTAATGTGGTAGTACTCCATCTTGTTGGAAAATAATATCCCTATCGAATTCATTAGGATTCGCTTCGACAATTTCAGTGATGAGAGCTTAACAGTAGTTTCCAGCATATTCAATCACAGTTACCTTGTTAAATTTTGATCAATGAATAGAGGTCCTACAATATGGTTTCCCAATATTCCTGCCCAAACGTTAATTTTTTCTGGAAATTGGGTATGCGTTTCCCGGAAAATGTGAGGGTTGGTGTTACTCCAATAACGGCAATTTTGTCTGTGAATATTGCTGTTTAAAAAAATCTACATTCGTCACTAAAACAATTATTGTGGAGATAGGTAGGATGCTTCTCAATGGTTTCTGTCATGATTTCGCAGAATTCTGTTCTTCGATCAGGGTCATCTCCAGTTAACTGGTGTACCATTTTAATTTTGTATGGATGATACCTATTCCTCTTCAAAAGTCTCCACCACCCATGATCACTTATGACCGCTCGTCCTTCTGAACGAGCATCAGTCTTAAGGGTAAGAGAACCAGGCTCCAACCAGTTTGAAATCAAGACGACATTGGTTTGATATGAATACAGGAGATGATTTATCGGACATAGCACTCAAAGAGAAGGGGCAAACTATGGACATCTGTTTCAGGCTATTGACCCATCATCAGTATGGTGCAGCCAAGTGTATTTGTATTTTTTTCCTGGATCATTTCCTGGACCCACATATTAGCGACTGACGTATGACATATCACTAATTTAACGACTAACATTGGGAAACGTTATCGCTGGTAGTATTGGAATAGATTTGCGTTAGAGAACGAAGAAAGTGTGACGGATTCTATTTTTTTAACACGCTTTTATTAGCTTCACTTGTATGTATGTATATATGTTTGTTGATAACTCTCCTTGCTTGATCAATTCGCGGGCAGATGGCGCTGTACGTAACCTCCTTGATATAATGACATTATTGCTTGATATATTCGCGTGCAGATGGCGCTGTACGTAAACTCCTCAATATATCGACATTATTGATCGATCTATTCGCGTGCAGATGGCGCCGTACGTAACCTCTTTGATATAATTCAAACTCAGTTCACATGTGTTTCTCCATTTGAAAAAACCTTCCGTTACGCGCCTGCTGGTAGCTGATTTTCAGGCTCCCTCTCCGGAATCGGAAAATATCAATGGTCATTTTTCTAAACAATATACTGCTGATCGATCACAAAGTTTAGATAGAATAAATATAGTTTGAAAAGACTAAAAAACACGCTTTTATAGCATACGAAACTAAAAAACTATCATTGAGAACAGAGAGCGTACTATTCTTCGAGTCATTTTGAGTTCTTGCATCATTTGATCGCCCCGATGTAACTCATTGAAAGTGATCATCTTTTTTCTTGAAGATATGTATGTACGAAAATATGACAAAAATAACTAATGAGTTTCAATCAGTCCTGAGAGGGAGTTGAGGTAAAATTAATTTGAATTGTGTTTTCCCCAATAACAAATTCGCTGTGCAAAAAAGATATTTCAAGAAAAGTATCACTTTGACATAGTAATCATTTTGTTAATATTATTTCTTACCTCGATGATACTATCACTTTGATTTTCTGCAAATTCAAAATTGCCGCGTCAACTGTTGCGTTGTAACTCCTAGACACATGCAAAGTTTTATTCCCGGCAAACCAGGTAGCTAGAATTGTGTCGTCCACCATATCTACCAAATAAATATTGAATTTGATCCTGTCCCCGTTTTCATTGAAGCTAATTGGTCCCGACAGAGTAAATGATGGTTTTCTCTGAAAAATATAATATGTAGACACAGCATTTTCATACAGGCCGTTTCTTTTATCATGTGGTAACATCGCTATATTCTAAACCCGTGGTCGTCAAATTGCGGCCCGTGGCCAATATTTTTGCGGCCCGCGACAAAGTAAATTATTTCAATAGTCAACTACATGTCAACTACAAAATCAAAACAGATTTTGCGTTCGAATCCGGCGACGGTGACTGACAATAGTCCGTTTCTCAAACGTCGTTTCAAAATTTTTCAAATAGGAAAAATTAATGGGCTCTCAATAGCCGCATTTCTCGGGTATTAGGAGCGACTGACTTTTTTGTAAAACTGTGATTGCACCTTATCTACATGTCTGTAGTTGATTTTAACTATGATTAAACTGTTCTCTTATAACAAAGGTAAGATTTTATAATAAAAAATAACCAGGATTTTGACTAACAATGTTTTTATTCAAACTTCCCCCTCAGTAGGCTCACATTGTCCTGTTCTCCCCTACGCTTTCTGAATTTTTTTGTCTCAGTGCCCATTATTTCTTCGGTACTGCCCAATGGACGGAATCATAGAAGAAGACTTCTTAGTAGTAATTACCATGAAGGGTCATAAGAAAGGTTGTGATTTTATGGAAGTTCTAAAAGAATTTGTGGGAAAACACAAAATACCTGTAAAAAAGTTGATTTCAGTGTGTACTGATAGTTGTCTGTCAATGGTGGGTGCAATTAATGGTTTGATTGCTTTAATAAAGAAGGATTGGCATATACCTAATTTGTTGCCTATTCATTACTTGCTGCGTCAACACATTTTGGCATGTGAAATTTTAAAAAACGAATTGAAAGATGTAAGTATTATAAATGTTATTCGCACCCGCTAATTTAATCATCGAAAATTCAAAGACCTTGAAGAATTACAAGCTATAATTATAGCGATGTTATCTTACATACGGCCATCAGGTGGTTAAGCAAGTGGGCAAACGCTCTTAGAGTGGCTTCACATTAGGTCGCGCGGCTGCCGCGCGACTTCCATACTAAAAAGTGACGCGCGGTTGTTGTGCGGTCCGGCGCTGACACCCACATTGTCATGTGTGGCCCTTGACCAGAAAAGTGTGACGACCGCTGTTCTAAACCGTAGCCCATACGAAGACGATTAAATGGAAAAGGAGGTAACTGTCATCGGGGACAATACAATGGTCGAAGAAAATTTACCGGGACTCTTGTCCTTCTCGAATTATACGGGGAAAACCAAAAATGCTGTTTTTCGTTTTTTTCAAATGGAATTGTAATTTCNCCGTATAACCCAAGAAGAGCGAGAGTCCCCGATGGACAAATTGAGTATGTACTCACTATTCTCATATAATTCCTGAGTGCGAAACCATTTATTGACGTGTCATTTCCCTTGCAAGAAATAGGCTTTTCATCCAGTCCATATTTAACTGACAAATCACTAATGGAGTCGCTGAGTAAAAGAATCGCGTCATGGAACAAAACCGTTTCGGTCTGAAATACAATTGTACATCATTTGTTTCCAAGGAGCTCTACAAATTGAAACCTTTATAGACTTTGGATCCAGTTGCATGCGAATATTGCGGTTCTCGAACTCAGTTAGCTGCCATCGATGAATGGCATTTTTGAAATCGTCGCTAGAAGGATCATGAATCCTAACTGTTGTAATATTAGCAGTAGTCTCCAGCACTGTGAAATCAATAGTGTGTGCATCCTGAAACCATATAATTATAATAATAATAATAATAATAATAATACCGT